GTGAGAGACGAAAGGAGCCGCATTTTGGCAGAAAAGAGAGAGTTTTTGGAGATCCAAAAACGAGTTCTAAGTCTCGAGATTTCTCGGTGCACATATCGAATAGAGATTCGAGTCCTAGCAAACAAGTTCCAACCGTTGGAATCCATCCCGTGGTGTGGATACGTGTAGAGGGCGAGGTATTCTTCCTGCCTTTCGTGATCAGACGTGTTCTTCGATTGATACAGGCCCCAGATCGATTGAGGTAAGCGTTCTAACGTTTCTACGATTCATTAGAAGCATGGTTCTAGGGTTTATTAAATTTTTGTTTTATATCCGCTGCGCAAACCCTAGAATCGGTCTGTTAGGAATAGGATTCGCTCTAGAGATCCCAGGAAACCCAACAGATAGGATGAACCGGATCTTCGAGTTGCTCTTGCATTGGTTCATCGAAATCTTGTGTTGATGAATCCACGATTAATCTTCGTGGGTTAATCTTCAAAACAGCCGAACATTGATTTTTTCGTCGTCGTTTCACCGATATCGCGGAATGTTTCGGATATGGAATGAAACATACTTGGTCTGCCTGATCAGAAAGGATAAAAGGATCATACTTTGCATATGAGCATCTCGGATTTATGTCAACACCTCTCCATCGATTTTTCTGTGAGCCGTGTCCCGACGTTATATCAAACCAATCACATCTGAATATTATTGTTTTCAACCCGACTAATCCTGGATATTGGAGTTGGAAAATCTGACGAAGAACTCCAAAGAAATCAGAATCTTCAGATGACCCACTTTTAATACAAACTCCATAGTTGAACGTGGATTTATGTTTTCGATGATCGTAAGAGTGAAACGTGTATCTTCGTCTGAACATTATCGGCCAGCAAATGACTTTTCTCCTAGGTCCATGTGACAAATCTCTGATCCATGCCGGAATTCTATCACTGCATGACCGGATATGCGCATAAAATCGATATGGATATTCAATTAATTATTTGCATATATATATATATATTATATATATATATATATATTATATATATTAATATATGATGAACAATAAAAACACACACATATATATAGTACTTACATAGTCT